GCATAATAACCCTTTTGTGGATGTTACATTTTCTGCACCCATGAGTATGCAAGTATCCAGTCCATGTGAGGGGAACTTCATTGTTACTGGATGATCACAGGGCATGTGTGTGACGTCCTGTTTGTTCAAACTTGGTGGATTTGTCCTTGAGACACACACCAAATGTGTACTTTAAGTGGACTCGGAAATAGTATAAACTATTCTTATTTCTTGTATTTTCTACTGCACTGTGTCTAGCTCTCGGTCATCTCACTCACAGCCTGATAGAACAACTTTTAAACTGTGCATTAATGTATACCTGATTTCTGTTTGTGCAATCTCCATTTTGTGGTTATCACAAAACTTCACGGCGCTGTGGGATAAAGATAATGGATGGCATATACCATATGCAGAAAATGGATAGAACTGTTCAACTTTTTTCCTTCTTTTAAGCCAACAGAAATCCTCTATAGGGTATGTTTTCAGCGCTGAAGCCAGTGTTCTGTTAATAGGATCTAATTGGAAATGGCTGGTGTTAAGGAAGTTGCTTGGGTTGTCTGAACTTAATCCTGTGGAAATCCCTAAGAAGTTATTAAAAATCTATGTGCAGTGTCCTAAATGTAGGACACTGATTCGCAAATGGAACTAAGCTTCTAGACTCTTTGGGTTTAGCAGTTGCCCCAAAGTTGAAAATACAGTAATGCAATGGTTTTGACAAAGGCTCCTATGTTAGGGGAAAAAATAGCTTAAATATTTTATAACAGCATATTTTGTGTCCATCAGAGCCATCAAGCAGCTGTGACATTGCACTAAAGGGAAGTTTTTCCCTAATGTCATAATATTAGCTTTGCCCGTATTACTCTTTAGAAGGTGAAGATGCTGATTTCATTCTATAGTCAGACATGGGCCACGAGCCTCGGTCCTTAAACATCATATCAAACATGAAGCCACTGGCTGTGTATTGAAGACCTGTTTTCTTAGCTGAAACATTAAACTCACCTGGTTTGCCAACCATTCAATTGAGCCAGTGTGAATTTTTTTTATCTAGCAGGTAGCACTACAAAATCTTGGGCTAGAAATTAGACAAATGAAGAACAAGTGGTGAAAACAGTATAAAAAATAGTTATATACCGCTCTCATTACTGCAAGAAAGGGAAACTTGTCCAGCTTAGTGTCCTTAACCACGTGTGTGGTGGTTAATTCACTCAGCTTACAAAACGCTGTTAAGCTTAAACAAATGGAAAGCCTTATATCACCTATATAATGCTTTTACGCTCTTTACCTGCACCGTCTATAGAAGGTGGTTTATTAGAGCCATTAAAGCAAAGCAGGGCTGCTGTAGATTGTTCTGCAGCTGCTGCTGTCTCTGCAGTCTCTCGTTGCAGTGGCCAGACCAGACCTGTCCTCTGCTGACCCACTATGAACTGGCCGTGCTGCTCAGCCCTGTGGGAAATCCTTGGTGCATGTCTGGCCCTAATTAATGCCCCTGCTGCAGTCTCTTATTAGATGGAGAGATGGAGAGAGCGAGTGAGAGGGAGAAAGAGAAAGAGAGAGAGGGAGACAATTAAGTATTGATTATATTTGCATAAATAGCTCCAGTTGTTTAAAGCCCGGTATGACCCCACGTATTAGCACAGCACTCTCTGGGCACGCATTGGGAGCAAAAATAAAGAGACGTAGAGTGAGGGTAAAAAAGAGTTGACCGGAGTCGAGAGAATGCATGGATCTCCTGCAATGCGACACAGCCAAGGCGCTTTAATCGAGTCATCCCAAAGGCTATGCCACTACGTGTTAACTTCGCAATTTGAACCAATTATTGGCCCATTAGCGAGTCCACTGTATTAGGCTGGCAGAAGATAATAATGTTTTTCTGTTGAGTTGGTCATCAATATAATAGCTCGGATAAAACACCTGAGGAGGTGCGCTAGTCACTTTAGTGGTACTCTCTATATCAGCGGTGGCACCTAATAAATGTGGCCTTTGTAATTGAGGGGAAACAGAGTGGAGTGCATGGAGAAAAGAAGAGAAAATAATTGCTGTTCTCCTCGCCCACGTTGCCCTTCTTCCTCCCTGCTGCTCGCATCATGCACCCCCCCACTCGCGACCCTCAGCGAGGTCACTCCTGGTGACTAATTATTTAGGTGGAAGGACTACAAAAAGTTGTTGTGCAAGTACAAGTGCAGAGTCTGAGAGTGCAAACAGTGCGAGTGTGGATGCGGGCGAGTATATTATATGCCTCTTAAAAGCGTGTATGAGGATGTTGACATCTATTATTAAATAAGCTGAAGCCCACTGTGCAGTTTTAGGGGTTATGTAGAGAACAGTTGTTACCAAAGAGAGCATGCTCCAAATGGCTCGTCCAGTTTATGCAGACAGATAAAAGGAAATTGCAAAGTTCACATTAATGTTAGGATTTTTATGCGTTTAGCTTTTTTTTTTTTGTAACTCATGACAATAATACATTTTTTGTTTGGTTGTGTTTTTTTGTTGTTGTTTTTTGAATTTTCAATCAATCACTCTAATTTCATGCAACTATCCAGATGTTTTAAAACATTAACTGGAAAGTGTAATAAATCAGAATATATCTGAGAAAGTAACAACTCAACGTCTTATAAGCATAGTAGTGGCAGATGTTGTTTAGCTCCCAACATGTCTGTAACAGTGCCATATGCCATTTTGGCATATGGTTCAATGTGAAATAAAGGAGAAGGTGTAACCTTTGGGTTCCTACAAACACTGAGCTTAATGTCCAGGAATAATCCAGAATGGGCATGATATGATTGTGTGTATGTATTAGGCAGCAAAATCAGTAGCTAAGTACAGTGATCAGCTACAACCATGATGCCACCTGTCTAAATGCATTGCGTGGTTTGTCTTGTTCTGTGAGGCAGCAGACATTGGAGAGTGCCATGTGTACTGAAAATGAAGCCTTTGGTTGTATATCCACATATATCCCAGGACATTAGTGCTCCTAGCAGAGCGCCGCATTGTAATGAAATAATCAATGTTATTCACATCACCATCCACTGCCTATAAAGTTCAGGGCCCTGTTGACTCAGTTACTCAGAACCAGATGCTCGTTTCTGTCGTATCTCCAATCTGTTACATACTTTTATCATTGTTTTTAAAAACACTGAAATATCTTTATATGCTGTTATGTTAATAAAGATCATGTCAGCAGGCTTGTCTCTTGCTGTGTGTAATTTTAATTTGATGTTTGTGCACTTGTGGGACACTATTATAACCTAGTACTATGAATAATTACTGCAGTTTGCGCATCACTGAGTATTAGATACAAGCATGATCCGACAAAAAACAATTTCTAGTGTAGAATTCATTTCAAAGCAAATGAATGAATTTGCATTGAATATGTCTGGCAATGGTTTCTTTTGCTGTGAGAGAGCTGACTTGAAGTTTCTCATTTGCGCTCTCCAGTGTATTTATGAATCGAGCAGTTTGTGTTACTGGAAAACGAGAACACAAAGCAGTGTGTGTGTGTGTGTGTGTGTTTCTTTCAGCACTGCTAGGAGTTTTACCTGCTACGTGTGCCATGGACATGCTTGCGTGCGAGAGAGCATATCAGTCTGCGTGTTTGTGCATGAGTTTAACTTCATATTTTGCGTATGACAGTGCCAGCAGGGCTGATCAGTGTCCATGCTGAGGGCTTTGTCACAGCTGACCTATATTAGATGAAAGCAGCTGGATCAGTGGCCTACAGGGACAGCAAAAGAGTTGTGTTCTAATTATCTCTGCAGCTAGCTAGCGACACATCACACCCACGCACACACCCATGTACAAACACACACACACACACACACACTTTTTGCAACAAAATCAATGGAGGCTCGTGAGAGCATCTGCCATGCTCTGCTTGACGAGTGACAGCAGCACATCCTCCATGTAGGATTGGCAAAAGTACACCGCCTCCTGTCACACAATGCATGTTAAAACCATTTTGTGATGACTTGGGTCTCTGAATGCAACACTGCATGACACTGCCATTCCACTGAGTAAAATATCATTACCAGGTGATCACAGCGAAAAAGATTTCATACTGTTGCCGTGTCCTTTAGGGATTGTTAAAACACATCCAGTGCCTTGTTGATGATTTATCTTATGGATTTAACTGTGTAAATGTTGTGTGCATATTAGCTGCTGTTGCCATGGAGCACCAAAGTAACACATGCCGAGGGTGTGCATTAGCTATAATGAGGCACAGAATAACAGGAAGGGGGGAAGAAAGTCCCAGAGAGGTATTGCTAACAGCTAGCAGTATTCACTGTACTCATGCTAATGCTAATGAATGGGTAATAAAGCATGCCCAACCCTGTGGCATCCTGTAATACCACCACAGTTAGCTTGCTAGCATTTTATGTCACACAGACAAAGCATCCTATTTTCCTGTTCGGCGTGTTATATCACACACACAGCTACACACACATGTTCTCCCATCAGGTGACACAGTGTTACTTTGTGTAAGCCTCGGTGTGTTTCTTTTCTGAAGTTCAATGATTTCACAGTTTCTGCTGCTTTTAGGAGGTAATTGGATGCAGCACACACTCAATTAAGCTGTTAGCCTCTGAGTCATCCCCTCCTCTTTCTTTCTCTCGTTATTGTCCGTATCTCTTTTCCATCCCTTTATTTCCATGGCTAATTTCACTCTCTCTGCTGTTATCTCGTTCTCCTCTTGTCATATCCTCCTATCATCCAACCATTCGTGGCTCCGGGGCCTGGCATTCCTAACAGGGGAGCTGAAGTGTTAGTTGGGCAGTCAGGGGAGGCTTCTTGTTTTGGGACCGGCAGGCACATCTTCCACCACATTGCAGGCACCGCCAGGGACTCATTTACAGGTCGGAGCTTATGGGGAGGGGGTGCTTTTCCCATAACGGAGAGAAGGATGTACTGTAGAGAAATGGAACTAAATGCTTCCATCCACATGTGATAAGTCTGGCGCAAATCTGCACGTGAGATTTTTATTTGAGCTTCCCTGATGTTGTCTTTGTCTCTCCCCCTGTCTGCAGAGTGACTGGGACCGAGTTATTTTTCCATCCTTTTCTGCCTATACACATGGAGCACCATTTCCTGATGAGACTGTGGTAAGTAGAAGGCACAATCACACATGAATGTAACTCCTGCAGCTACACGTCACCTGTACCCACATACGAATTCCACTTCTGTCTTCTGCGTCCTTGAAATCCATCCCTCGGGGATTAACCCACGTCAGTGAAACAGCTCAGAGAAAGTGGGATTTTGAAGCATGCCGCTCACTCTCCTGCATGGCCTGCCTTGTGTTTGATCTCACATTTGAAGCAATATTGACTAAGTCGCGTTTCTGGAGATGTTTGCTGTTGTCGACCGTCATGGCTGAACACTACATACAACAGTTTAAGCTGTCACTACCCTGCGTGGGTTGGTTGAGAAACATCGACATGACAAAGTTGCCATACTGTTGGCCTTGCATTTTGGAAAGAGGCTAATGGCGAGAGGAAAATAGAAACAGTAGATGGAAAGATGTCAAGACAAGTACAGACTGGCACAGTAATAAAGTAAAAAATAGCTGGCATGACTGACCGATCGTGCTGGCCCGAGGATGTACTACTATTCTTAGCTTCAGTCTCCTCCTTTTTCTCCATCTCCCCTCACTTTCTCCTCCCTCCTTTCTCTTGATTCGCTCTTGTGACGTCAGCACTCTACAGGATATCTGGTGTCTGGAGGTACCCTGGATCTATCTACTCTTTCTCTGTAATTGGCTAAAACCATTCAACGGACTTCCATCTATCTACCTCCCAAACATTTGTCATTTTATTTATTTATCCTCTCTGTTCGCTTGTTTAGCCTTCGTCACCTCAGCTAATACAGTTACACTCCTCTCTTTTTGTCCATTGTTGGATTTACCATGTTAATGAAATGCTGAAGCTTTCACCTAATTACAGCTACAGAGAGGGCCACTTAGAGGCCCACAGTGCCCTGTGTTTGTGCATTTTATCTGATGTAATACAAGGCCAGGATGTGATGGGATGTTCTATATAAGTAAAATTACAGATGCATCACATTGTTGCTGTCAGAACCGGAAACTCTCTGCAACATGCCTAAAATGGCCTATTTCTGTCGCCAAATAGCATTATCATCATTATCATTCCTGTCATTGTCATCAGGGTAAATATATATTCTGACAGATTTTGTGTGCTCTGCATGAAATAACACACATTAAAAAATAATACACAGGTTGGACACCTAAAGTAGTCTTCTCTGCTATGTCTAAGAATACAGATAGACTTCTATGGTCACTGAATGATCATTGTCATGGCATAGCCTCTTACCATAGGGTCTATTCAGGTAATTCAGGAAGTCCTAAGATGGTTAAGATGGTTAGTCAATCAATCATAATCAAGAACACCCATTATAATGATGACTCTCTTTTAATTCTTAGTCTCTGCACAGGCGTTTTTACTTACGTGGTTTAGATTTTAGGAAAGTTGACTCTACCTAAAAATTGATTTAGTCACCTTGACGTCCCCCTTTGGTTTGCTTTCAAATTTTAAAGTGCATTTGATGTCTTGGTTTTCAAAACAACAGTGATGGATCTTCTTATTAAGATCCCAAGGACTTTGATTGATACACTAGTGACTTGTCAAATATATCCACACCTCAGATCATACCTTGTTTATCATCTATCTAGGTGTTTACTTTGTCAGTTACAGTGGGTTCATCATGTAGATTATGTGTGCGCCTGAATTAGTCAACACTTGCATTTTTTTTAAGAAGGCTTGGGGTCCATGGAGTGGAAATGCTTTATTGCTATACTGTATTGCTACATGGTTTGGCAACCTTTCTGTTAAGCTCAGATCCCAAGTTCAAAATTAAAAGGGCTGGAAAGATAGTTGACGTGCTCCTTTCATTTTCCCATCCAGAGTCAGTGATACAGCAGGGTCTGAAAGTTACTGAGGACAAAAATCTCACCTTTAATAAGTATCAGTTGATGCCGTCAGGAAAAAGCTTTAGGGCACCAAACTGTAAGTTAAATAGGTATAAATTTTCTATTGCCAATATCGGCTAATTATTCAATTGTAATTAGGGTAAAAATGTAAATAAGTGTCTGTATGTGTGTTTTATGTTTCCCTCTGTTGTCCAGTTTAAATTTCTCAGAAGTGACCCAATAAAGGCTAATCTAATCTAATCTAATCTAATCTAAACTAATCTAATCTATTTCAGTCTAAAAGAGACCAAATAAAGGAACTTTAGAAGTCACCCCCCTGCTGGTCGTTCAAAGGAATGCAGGTTTGCAGCCCTCGGCACTGACTACACTTTTCAGTATGAGAGGATACTTCCACCTTATAAATTTCTTAAAGTTCTATAAAGTTCCTTTCTGTGGCTTTACTAACACATCCATAAATGTCCTTGGAGTTTTCTTTCAACTTCTGTTGGATTCTCATTCAGGTGCCAACTGACAGGGGCTGGAATACATTAATAAAGCACAGCATCTGTGCTTTTCCTGCTGGTATAAGTCAAAATATCTACTGCAGAAAAAAGTCAAATTCACACAGTCAAAGTTAAATCGGAGACCATAAAGTACATTTAATAACACCAATTCCATGAATAGATAAGAGCACATTCGCAAAGTAGCATTTGAACGCACTGACAGAGTTTGTGGCCTTGTGTAAAATGAATTTTGTGGTGTGAATGAAAAACTTTTTCAAAGTTCTCTTTTTGGCCCAAGGCACTTTTTAGTGGCTGCCTGATGGGAGTAGCTGTAAGGAGTGGTGAAGGAGGTCTACAGGGCCCTTAGTAATGGAAGCTGTGAGGGTCTGAGAGTTGGGTTTAAGTGGTGCTGGTGATTTTGGTTGCATGCTTGATTATTCCTGTGAGCTTTTTCTTGATTTTCACTGTGATGAAGTTGCAGCAGGATACTGTTTCTTGTGCTGTACCCTAGGGACTAGGCTGGCATTCAAGAACAGCTGGAAAAGCTGTTCCACCCCTACAGTTTATATAAAAGATGGATGTAGCCACTGTGATGTCAGCGATTGGTTAGTGAAGTCCCATTATGAGTCCTCGACCTGAGTGTTTTTGGCTTCCACATGTTGGTTTTGGGAAATGGGGAGTGACGAGTAAAGGCTCGACTTGGCTTTGGCAGAAATAAAAAATGCATGCTCATTGGCTACTAACTTGGGGTTGACAATTCATTAACCTTCAGTAGTGGTCAGAAATGGGAGGTTTGGGCATTCCTCTGTGTCAGCTGATGCAAACTCAAAACTTCTTGCATCTTTACTTCTTGTCTTTTAAATTTATGTGCATTTCAGCAGCAGTAATTCTATCAGAGTCACGTCGTGCTTTATTCCCTTACTAATGATATGTTTTTGTAATTTGAATGCTATAACTAAGGACTTCCTCTTGACTTTTCACATTAAAAGTCTTGCTGCCTCCCATTTATGGGCATATTTAATGGGCGAAAGTGTTGAGTTTTGCTCGTTATGCCTTGACATCAATTACAATACAGCTTGTGACTTCATGTTTCACTGACTAGTCCACATGAAGCTTTTAACTGATGACTTGTGAGGAGTATTTTGCAGAGATGAGTCACTTTCCTCCATTTTTCTCCCCCACACACGTCTCACTTCTGAATGGTTATAGGTGTGTGTGGCTACACAGGCTTTACTGCGTGCGTGTGCCTGTGCGGCTCGTGGATCTGTGCCCAGTCTTCCCGCTGTGAGCATATGGTTTCTGGGAGAGTAACTTCAAACAGAAGCTTTTTGTAGCACTGAAGGACAGCATCTCATTAGGACGTGTGCAGTTTGGTGTGTGTAGCTGCAGACAGAAGCGAGCCTGCGTTAGAGCAGGTTATCAATTTAGTTTTTTGATTATCTGCAGTGGAGCTTATCAGAAGGAGATAAGAGAATTAGGGCGAAAATCATTTTCCCTGAGCACTCCTTCATCCCAACGTTGTTCCCAGCAACAACATGCGAGAATAAAATCGTCCCATTTTATGTTCTACTTTCTATATTTCTCTCACAGGTGCATTTTTTCCTTTTATGTTCAGATAGGACTCTTTCTGCAGTTTTTGGATTATAAAAGTTTTTTATTATCGCTCTTCTTTATCCAACGTGCACAAGAAAGGGACGTTCATCAAAGGCAAACTTTTCCGTTTAATGTTATTCAAGGAAAATAAAATATACAGAACAAAAATAGAGTCTAGTGCAGAGCAATACTGCAAATCTTGGTATCGATCTGATGCCAGGTAAATATTGCAGATACCCATACCAGAGTTTTTAACCTATAAAGGCAGTTTATGTACGAGAGAGCAGCGTGTTATGATTTATGAGCCGAATCATCATTAATTTGCAAATCTTGAACATGCTAAATCATACCCTTCAGCTTTTCTTTTATTTTGAAACTGGGTGTTTTTGGAGACTGTAATGTAAATGTGCCTGTCTCTAAACATGCTGGGTCAGCTTCTCTCATTTAAATGTACTAAAGACTATAAATAAAAGAGACACATTTAACTTCCAAAACAATTATTAATCTAACACAGGTCAGTGGGATACATATTAAACTTTAAGAATAAAAATAAAGCATCGATCAAAAGAATACCAATTCCAGCTTTGGTTTTGATATTATTGATATTTGGATCCAGGTCGAGATAAAAGACAACCAGAACCAGTGGCTGTATTCAGTCCAGAAATCAATGAAAATTATAAACTGAACTATTATTTTCCATGTCTCAATCTATCCATCTTTTTTTGCCTCCTGGTCTCATTCCCACCCTCATCACTCTCTTTATCTCCCGTCGGATGATTTATGGATATCTTTCATCAATGCTAAAAGCAGCGCTCATCTGTTCTGAACTACTGAAGACCTGTATCATAAGATGAAAGAAAAAAACGGAGAGACTAGAGTTAAGGGCTTGCAGCCTATGTAATGCGTTTGTCTGCGTGCAAGTGTGTCACAGAAGAAGAAAAAGAGCGATGGAGTCGAGAGACGAGAGGCAAAGGGAGGCAGAGACTGTCTCAGCCGTCACATGATTTAATCAAAGCCATCCATCACATCAGGATAATTAGACAGCAGCATGGATCGCACGGCCTGAGCTCATCAGTTAGAACGC